GTGAGCAAAATTTGAGTTGCAAAATTTGATCCGGACAAACAAATGGACAAGAAAGCAAGTTAATAAAAACGTGTTAATAAGAAGCCACGCATCACAGAAAACCCCCCAATTAATTTTTAAAATTTTCTCCGCGTGTTTCGCCGCATTGACCAAAACAAAATTCTCACGAAATAATTCACGATTTTTCAAAACGAACAGGGAACGTAATGAAAAAATAATTTATCGATGAATTTATTTTCTGGTTCAAAAACTTGACCTGTTTTGGAGCGCTAGAAAATCGCTTCGACAATACTGAAACTAAATTTCAAAATTTGTTTCAGTTTCATCGCCTCACTTAACATCACGAAAATCTCCCGAAAGCCTTCAACAGTCCGGAGCTGAGAGAGTTTTCGCTTCAAATTCCTCCAAAGCGCAGTCGCCAATTATCAACAATAAGTCGTCTGAAAAAACGTCCCCGGAAAACAGCTCGCAAAAATTTGCTAGCGCACACGCTTCCAGCAATAAGCCAAACTCACCAATTGTCAATAACGAGCCAAAAGAAATTTCCAACGAACTAAGTTCGCAGTGTCCCGCGGACCTAATCAGCAAAGAATCGAAACCCGAACCCGACCCGGAAGCCACGTCCCAACTCGTGGAACCCGTGGAAAAAACGTTCCCAAGCGACCAGCAATCCCATGTCCGGGAAATCACTGAAAAGTCAAAGAGTGCCGATGACGTCAACGAGAATGTACGTCACTCGAGACTCTGTCGAGGATTTCATTCGACACTTTCCTCCGGAAATGAAAGCAAAATCCTGACGACAGCGTTTCGCTTGAATCAAGCATCTGCTGGAGCTGCTTCGGGGATGTGTTTCAGTTCTGACAATATCGTGGCTCTGGGTGGTGCTGATCAGCAAAAAGGATCAACAACTGATGATTTTGAGACTGCTTTGAGCAGTGGGAGAAGCTCTGCAAAGGCCTCCATCAGCAGGTTTCCGCTCAACGATCTTGCAAAATATTTCAACATATAACGAGACATATTTTCGCATCAATTTTTTTTTTGCAAAGGGACTCTTCAGCTGCATGCGATATGATTCCCGAAATGCGTATATACATAAAAAAAAGAATCCTCACGTGTTTAAATGCGATAACTTCTTTTTTGATTCGTCAATACTGAGTTAATTAAAGTGACGGAAATTTTTTTGCGCGTCGAAAATTTTGCACTTTCAGGGTCATTTTTGATTTTTGAATTTATTTTCAGTAATTTTGAATCAGCATGATTTTTAATTTGTTTTTATGTGCTAGTTTTTGAATTCATGTCGTTTCAGAATTGTTTTGAAGCTCTTAAAATCGATCGGTCATGTTTTGAAGATCCCGTTATTAGGAAAATTAGTCTTGCGTTTTTGGGAAGTTTCGATGGCCTATCATCGTTGTCGCATTTTTTTTTTTTTGCAGGGGAAACTGGTCAGAAATTTTAGAAACAGTTCCAAAGTCGCCTCAAGATTTAGACATGGTTCCTTCAGTGATGAGCATGACTGACGGAAAAACGAAGTCCTGGATCACCGACG